CCACGGGCTTCTCCTCTTTCGTTTGATACAAGACTCTCGTTCCAATGACCCAATCACAATGCGCCTGGCTGGGACTCCTCCTCCTACATCGCTGTTGTGGTTGTTTTTTTTTCTTTTTTTTTGACAGTTTTATTTATAGAGGTGTTACTAAGTGTTGGACATACATCCTTGGCTGCTTTTTTGTTTTATTTCACCCCTCCGTGAGTGTATGTGTGTGTGCGCATGTGTGTAAGAACATTCGAAAACAGACAATCATTCAGTGGGAATGTGTTGTTGTTTGAGATCAACATAGTCATTTATCCAGTCACTTCTAAACAAAGATTAAGCAGAGATATTTCTAAACTGCAGAAAGAGTGATAAAAAAGCTATTTTTAAAATGAAAGGTAGGACTTATGTGAATGAAAGAGACTAGAAACAACAAATATTTAAACAGGAGTAGGAAAACTGCGACATAGGCTTTGCATGTAATGCTACAAATTTCCCAAAGTGATAATCATCACAGGTGTACATAAATACATAAATCCGGGGAGTTTGTGCAACATTCATTTTAATGCATTTATTCATTTCCATTTATGACAGCACTTTGCTCAAAGCATAGTACCGCAGCTAAATGTACTGGTTGGACAAGAGGATATGATCTTCTTGGGTTGAATATGTTTCAGTTTTCAGTGATGGTTTAAAACCCTTTATTCTTAGCCACGATGCTATTTTCAGTAATAAATCAACCTTGAGCTATTACCTGAGCTATTGCTACGCTAGAAGTTGTGGATACTGCAAAAGTCGTTGCTAGTCGTTTTTTTGTTGTGTCGCTGTGTTCTGTCATGCAAAAGGTATGGTTGTGTTCATAGTCATGGATCTAAAAAGGTGATTTCCCAGGAAAGGCTGTTCAGGTGAGACTTGGACCGTTGTCAGACTGTGATATCACTTTACCCCGGACAATGGGCAGGCGACTACATAGTACTGTGAGAACTGGTTCAGTTCTCCAGAGCAAAATTGAAAAGCAGTAGAGTTTTATTATTTCTGTGAAATGAAAAGAGAACATGACACCAAACCAGGTTACAACACGAACAACTAGTAACTCCACGAAGCAGCACTTGATTTTTGTTATTGTGTGGGCGATTAAGCGCATATGGCAATTGCTCGTCAAGAAGAGCTGAACCTCGGAGCTGCATGTATAGGAGGAGACCAGGAGGGAACCCACTGCCCTTCTATTCAAATGATTTGTACAGATAACGCTAATAATGACAAACATACAGTCATCTGTCCGCATGTGTTCGGATTACATCGCCCAGATTCAGAGAACAGAAGATATCATCTCACCAAGAAAATGACTGAAATACTGAAAAATAATGTCTGTTATTTCTTTTTGCGTTGTATGTATTTCTCTGAATATATTGTAGAATGTGTTTTTACAGTTCACAGTGTGACACCGTGTGCACATATGCCTACATATATGACAGATATGCTTAATTTATTTATGATCATTTGATCATTCGCTTTTATATTCGAACTTACAAAGCGAGGCGGCGATTCTACGTGGAATTCCTTTGGAAGAACTGAAGAACTGAAATTAACGATAAATCACGACCCACACTATCTCCTGTCTTGTTCTCTGTGAGGTGACCATCACTGTACAAATCCTTTAAGGAATTATAATGGGCCAGCTCATGGTTCTTTTCCAAAATAAATTATTTTATTTTTCAGTGCCTCTGCTGGTCTCTTTTTTCTTGTAAATAAATTGATAAGTCAGTCAGTTGGTGGCTGTAAAAGTTTACAGTCATAAAAGGAATCGGGCTGTAAAAATGCATTGTGATGCATTGATCTGAAGCTGGCCATTCAACCGCATTCTGGAACATTACAATCAACCAGTTTGTGAAATACCTGCTGATATTCAGGGGGTCTTTGGTTTGAGAAACAAGAGTAAAGATTCATTCTTTCCAGCAGTCTCTTGGGAGGCAGGTTTTCATATTTATAAGTATGCTTTGGTGTTCTGTAAAGTACTTAGTTACAGTTGCTAGGCTTTGAAGGACCAACTGGGTGAACCAATTTGTTATAGTGCCACCCTGAGGCAGACCAGTGCTGCAGATCTAGTTAGTTTAGAATACCAAAGACAGAAGCTCGTTGATTGTGGGTAAAGAAGCTAAATAATGACCTTTTCCTGAATGTGTATTCGAGCTTCTGTTTTTCCCTAATGGAGAGCATAATGTTATAAGAAGTTCATTTTCAGGGACCCCCTACAATTTTTATTTTGAGACATTCACAGGGTCCAAGAGGTTAATTAAGGGGTCCTGGGTCACTCAGGACCCCTTGTATTTTGCCCTTTGCAATCAACTCAATAAAATGTTGAACACTTTTGGCCAACATAACATTCTCAAGCTATTCTTAAATCTGTACATACATATTCAGTGTATTTTTAAATATAATTGTAAATTGTTTCTGTGCAGCAGTTTCAACACATTGGGTCACATTGTCTTTCTTCCTCAAACTTTTTGTCTTTCAGATTTTTCTATCATGAGAAAGCCTCTCCCTCTGTCACCATCAATGTCAGATCCATGAAGAGAAATGACACTTGATCCATATGAGCAGCATTGGCCTCCTTTTCTTCCTCCGGCCATGGCCTGTAGAGTGGGGCTGAATGAGAATGTTAAGTGAGTGTAAAATTCATAAAGATCCAGAGAAACCGTGCCGGGACGCAGTGGGAGGGTGGGAGAGCTCGTCTGGAGATAATCTCTTTATTCCGGACCGAAAAGCATTGATCTGGACATTTGGGCTACTGAAGAGGTGTCCGGAGGGAGAGGAATGAAAACTCAATTGTGAGGTAAAGGGATTATGGGTAAAGCTCATCTGTCTTCTGCAAAACACAAGACCTCTCGATATCCGAGATAACTCTCCTCATACTGATATTCCACTTCCACTGCTGTGCTGGCTGAGATTATTATGCTGAGTTGGGGTGTACATCAGAAGGTTGTACATAGTCTACCAGAGAGATAACTAGTAAATATGACCTGACTCTATTCAAGTGTTCGTTAAAATATGCCCATCACATAGAAAAGAAGGCAAAGAAGGGCATCCGGTATATTTTTTTCACATTCACCACCAAGTTTACCATATTCACCATCAAAAAAGTTGCATCATACGTCACATTTTGTAATGTCTTGAACCGTGTAAAATCCTGAATTTCCCACTTGCAAATGTGACTTTGAGTGCAATTTACAAGTCAGAAAATTGGTGTTTACCAGTTTTCAACACCACTTGAATGCAGCATTAGAGAACATAGCCAAATGGTTCTGATGTCACAGCCTGTCCACTGTATTACCTCTTGGTCCACTCTGTTGTGCGAGTATTTTTTGATCAAAATTTAATGCAATTATCAAATCATGCCATCATTTTCACATGAAGTAACTCTCTCTGAACTGACAGATACTCATTAGCCTCCACCACTGTGCTGAATTCGGTTCTGAAAGCTGGGAACACGGCCAAATAGAGGAAATTACTTTTAAATATGAACAAAAATACTTTCACATCCTCTGTATATGAATGAAATTCTTAATGAAATGATGACATATGTCTAACTTAGGAACTTTGCCCATCTTGCTCTTTTAGCTACACATCTACAGATCTCTGGCCATCAAGTGATAAATGGGGTAACTGTACGTCTTTATTTTTAGTGGACTATTAAGTCATCCATTAAACCATCTGTACACAAAACTTTCTCTTTGGAAAACTGATACCTGATCTTGATAACAGCATTACTCCTAACCACGGGTAATGATCTAACTGTTTAGAAATTCCATTCCTCTTAAGTGCCACTGCCTAAGGCTTTGTCTTGCAAGAGGATACATCTCCCGAGAGGCCCACGGCAGAGGTGCAAATTACACCCACAGTGGGCTTTTGAAAAATAACCATTCATCATGTGAATACACAAATGATCTCAAACCTGAGGGTGCTGACCAAGTCTTCAAACAGCAAGATGGCCAGCAATCGTTCAACTGTAAGCGCCCTGTCAGTGTATTGCATTTCAATTAAGAGAATGCTTTCAAAGGCTGGTCAGATAGGTCATCAACTAAGAATGCATTACAACACATTTCTTTTGTCTCGCACATATTTCCCAGGTTACAACTGTCAGTAAGAATCAGGTTAAAATGAAATGGTTAAGCCTTGCTTAAATAAAGCAAACTGATTGTAAAATGTTACTATGTTGTTGATCAAAGCTAGGAAGAAGTGGAATATAATAACATTTTACAGCTGAATTTTACAACTGATTTGTTCTTTGACCTTTGCTTACAGACAAAACCTTGGTTAAGTAAGTGTTAAATAATGTTGAAAGGGCCCATGATCTTATGCTTGTGTGGTTTACCGCAAACAGTTGTAATTCATTTTACAGGACCATTTTCCAACCTCTTGGGCTATTTTTTTAGCTGTGCCATTAAGACTGACATATGTACATGATATTGGCTGCCATTCTGGGCTGAAACACTTCTTTAAACTTCAGGGTAGATGGGCGGGGCTAAACTGCTGAAGGCTAAAAAAGGCGGATATAGGTAAACTGGTTGGGTCTGGTGACGTCATAAAAACAGAATTACATTTTTATTTATTTATTTATTTATTTTTGCACACTAATTTGCATTTATGGTCTGAAGGGTGAACGGTATGTTTTAAAACTTTAACAATTCACATACTACATTTAAAAAAAGTGATGACAAATTGATTTTCCATGACATAGGTCTTTCATAATACACTAAATTGGCTCAGTTTGACTTAATCCGTCTTCAACTGAAATAAGCCCTCGCCCACTGAATAAGCTGTAAGATAAGATAAAACAAAGTTCAAACCACATTATATATGCCCTGAAGTGAACAACCCTTCACTGGAATTCGGTTTGAGGCTCAGTCCGCCCATTTTATGTGCTGCCCCTTTAAACCCACCCGTATTGGGGGCGTGTCCGGGGGAAGAAAGGGCCGAGCTGAGCTGAATGAGCTGCAGCACGAGCGCTGCGTTCGTTACACGCTCGACTACAGGAAGGATGCGGTTCTCAGCTTGTGGAGTCGATTTCTGTGTAGACTGTCGAATTTGAGGGAGATATAACTCTCTTGTACTCCTGCATATTTATCAGTATTGGCACTAAATTCACGAAAATACGCGAGAAAGTCTTCGAAGTTTTGTAGTGATAACTCAATGGAGGACCGAGCTGCTGGTTAAGCTAGTCACCTGAGGAGGAGAGAAACAAACCGTTGGCTGAACTCGACACTGTTTACAACAGTAAGTTCAAATTTAGCTCAGTTTTTGATAAAGGCGCCACCGTTACAACCTCGTTTTATTTATAAAATGGCAAAGATACCGTCATATGTTGTTGGCTTACCTGCATGTATGAAGTAGTGGTGCTTCCCTAACCGTTAACGTTGGTGTCCTTCAACTTGAATTCGTTAAAGTAAGCACTCGCACCGTTAGCCATCTCTTTTGAATTTTGTACGAGTCCGCTCTTCTATAGAGCTCAATGGATCTGTTCCACTTTATTCATTCATTCACCAGGCCTATTCATTTATTATTTGTCCACCACTGCAGATGGTAGATGGCCTCTAGTGTTCATTATTGTTCTCCATCCCTCCCTTTGCTCTCTTTGTCCCCTTAGCTAGGCCATGGTCATAGTTCTCTGTTTGCCTTTAATAATCAAAAACGTGTTTTTCCTTCTTCTCTCGCCCTGATTTTGAATTAATTCAATTCTATGTCCCCACCAGTCTACACCCCACTACTACCCACCGCACATACTGCCTGGCTATTGTAGCATGCTTGTTTTATATACATCCCTCTATTTCCCTATGATCCCCTAATCGTTGATTTATAGAGTGGCTCCTGTCCTTCAGTCTACTGATTGCCATTGTCTCTCTCGCAGTTGAGGTAGAACTTGAACGTGTCAGGCTAGTAAATGTCTCACAGCCATGTCGTTTCTTTGTCTACAGCCTCTTAAAAGCATGAGTGCTGGAGGCAGGGCCGGCACAGCCTTGGCTTATTAGTCGGTATGACTTAACAGTAGCCCAATGGTGTTAGAAGTGAAGCAGTCAAATGAACCTGAATGTGCATAAAGCTGCAGAGTTTGAAGACTGTATGCCTTTATTTTGCCAATTTCCGTCAATTCAGTTGTCTTATAGACCACAAAGCTTGCCCAACAGTGGAGTTTAATCATTGATAGGGTGGTGCGATGTCATGGGTAAACTTCCACTGTGGGAGAGAGCAGCCCTGAAGCAGCTGGTACTTTATACCAGCACTTAATTACCAACGTTTAATGAATAGGGACATGATACTTGTGTGTTGTTTTGAGGACTGTCGTTATTACTTGATTTAACTCAAGTCTTGATATGAAAAAGTTATGGGTATGCAGTTTATGTTCTCAGTGAATCAGCAATGATTAGTTGTTTTCCATAAGATGGTTAGGCAATTTGCATGATGATAATGCATATTGTAAGTTCTCCTAATGGCCTCTCTTATACTAAGAAACAGAGTCTGATGGACACACCCATTTAGATAGAATTTTTTACCACATAGTGTTTATTTACATATTAGTGAAATCTGTTAAAGGCTTTCTAGTTTAAAGTATTGGAAGGCTATGCATATTCTGTTATTAATTTTTATCGTTTGGCTTGTAAAAAAGACCAATTTTCTATTTCATTAGCCAGCTTTAACAGACTGCTTCGCAAACACATCAACCAAGTTTGTTTTGCAGGCCTTAGTGTGCTGTAAGCAGAACTCTTATTAGAGGTGGCACCACTTTTTTCTGTTTTGATATGATATCAATCCTGAAATATTTACTGTTGACTGATACTGATGTGATATGAACATTTTTCTTTAAAACCTACTAGTTTTTAAAGTAAAAGCACTTCCCTTAAGATGCCCATCTAAAAGTAACATTATCTGATTGCTCAAACAAGCACTGTCATACCCTACATGGAACAATGCACCAATGTGAGAATTCTAGGCCAATGCCAGTATACAGTGAGGTCATATTGAACATCTGGAAAAAGTGAAATGTAAAAGACATACTGAAGATTCTGCACTATTTCTAGATCACTATTCAAATGTAAGCAAATTTGTAACATTGACCTTGTTGAGGTCATTTTTTTTTAGTCATATCACTTACTGTGAAGCATATGTTTGGACAACGCTTGGGTGGATTTGATCTACTCTTCAGGGGTTTCTGCACAAACTTGTGAAGCTCAGCTTGACAGAACTGTCTTTAAAGCAAAAGGATCACATACTATTTCTGAATTTCATGTAAGTATGTTAAAGATTCTACTTTTCATTCAAATTGTATAGCTGATAATGTGTTTTGTAATGAAAGGGATGTGTATTATGTTTAGGGGCAATACAAAACAGAAGCATTTTCACTAGTGGTCATAGACTTTTGGACCTCACTGTATAAATTAGTGCTAATATATATGCAATTAGAAAATGGAGAGACTGGGATTTAATCCACACTAATATTATAGAGAAATGTAACATTTAGAGGATAGCAGTAAAATGAATAAAAGAGACATTTTAGCTAGTAGAACAGCATCACTTAAACATACTGCTTATGCAATAAACATGTCATCAAATATCAGTTTGAGATATCGATGCAATCAAATCATTTGTTTGATGCAGATAAAAATAAATCACAAGTATCTCCCAATACTTCATGCATCCCTAAAGAAATTCATTACCAAAAAGGTCTTATGCAAATCCACAAGTTATTTTTATATTGTAAATGTTAATGTTGGGGTGTATGTGACTACTGTGGTTATCGCGTGATGGCATTATGTTATGTTGGACTACTGGCAATTCTGTGATCTTTCAGGCTAGATTTGTTACCCTCTGATATCTGAGAAGTTGCTGCTCGTATAGGCGATTCAACATTTACTGCTTGGTTTGGGCCAACGTTGATACTAGGTGTTGGATCAGTGCCAGTTCTAACGCTTGTACAATTAATTTGTGTCCCAATGAATTTAACACTGGTGATTTTATTGTGAATGTCCTTTGCTTTATCAAGCTTTCAAACAAGCCACATGTCAGCGTTCGGTTGACTACACTTGCATTGATTTTTCCTTTAGAATAGACTTCACATTGTGAAGTGGATCAGGGAAACCTTGACATAAGGTCCATATCCTACAAAGCTGCCTTGAAGTTATAAATTTGATTGAGGATATTTTCCTCCCCATCAGCAGTCTCACCTCCACTGTTTTAATGTGTTTCAAGCCCCTGGCAAGCTGATCAGCAAGCCGTCTTTGCCTGTATTAGTTTGGAAACCTTCCATTCCAGCCTTAGAGGTTAATGCATGCTATTATTCCTTGCTGTGCTCTACTGGAGGCTGTGCCAACAGCCTCATTACTGTCTTCAGTTTCTCTAACACACACTCTTCTGGCCTTCTACCAAAATGGCTTGCATTAAAGTTATTTGCCTAGTCTGCGGTGAGTGAGTGCAAATTTACTAGAAGATGGTGTACTTTCCATTGTTTTGGAATTCCTATAACTAACACACACACACACACACACACACACACACACACACTCACTCACACAGTATAAATAGACCCTCAGATCAATTTCTAATACAACCTTGTTTCAAAAAAAAAATTGGGACATGTGCAAAATGTAAATAACAACAGAAAGGCAATGATGTGCAAATCATTTAAACCCTATATTTAAGTGATAATAGTACAAAGAAACTAAACAAGCATCTCACAACTAATTAGGTTAATTGGCAACAGTTAGTCGCTGCATCCACAAATGAAAGTTAAAAGTCTACCATGCAAAAAAGAAAGCATATATAAACAGGATCCAGAAATGCTGCTGCCTTTCTGAGCCTGAGCTTACTTATTTCTTTTTGGAAATAATAGACGCTGCGTTTTCTGGGCTAAAGACGAGAGGGACCCTCTAGCTTGTTATCAGTGCACAGTTCAAAAGCCAGTATTCATGATGGTATAGGGGTGCATTAGTGCACATGGCATGGGTGACATGCACATCTGTGAAGGTACCATTTAAGCTGAATGATGTATACAGATTTTGGAGCAAAAAACTGCCATCCAGGCAGTATCTTTCTGGAAAGGCCTTGCTTACTTTAGCAAGGCAATGCCGAACTACATTCTACACTTTACAACAGCATGGCTCTGTAGTAAAAGAGTCTGGGTGCTAAACTGGCCTGCCTGCAGTCCAGACCCATCACCCGTTGAAAACATTTGCTGCATCATGAAATGAAAAACACGACAAAGAAGACCCCGAACGGTTCAGTACCTGAAATCCTGTATCAAGCAAGGATGGGAAAACTACAGCAGTTGCTCTCTTCGGTTCCCAAATGCTTACAGAGTGCTGTTAATAAAAAGAGGTGATGCAGTGGATAACATGCCCCTGTCACAATTTCTATGAAATGTGTTGCTGGCATCAAATTCAAAATGGGCATATATTTTTTGAGAAACAATAAAATTACTTAGTTTTTGCACTTGCGCTATTTTGAATTAAATATAGGGTTTAAATAATTTGCACAGTCCCAGTTTTTTTGGAAGTGGGATTTGGTTGGAAATGAGTTAAATTCTTGAAATGCTCATTGTAAATTTTAATTCAATCTGAATTTTTTCCTTTGTGGTAGATATAGCCAAGCAAACTCTTACATTGGTTAGGACTTCAGGAGTTCAAGGCCTAATGCGCCAGATTAACCACTAACATAATTAGAAACTGACTGTGGAATCAGCCAGTCATATTTTGATTTACAGTGAGTGAGACCAATTTTAGTAGGAAAAAGCATGACTCTGGGCCTTCAGGAAGTTCTAGATACATCACTGACTATGAGTATGAGTGGTAGCCTTGCCAACGCATTTCAGTTAGATGTTAGAAATGGAAAAAAATGGTGGCAACTCTTTACTGAACTCTTTATTAAAGAACTCACTCTAAAACTGCTACAAGGTATAAGTTATGTTCATATGTCTGTTACAAGCTTCCAATAAAACGTGGAAGGGCTTGTACATGTCCATGTTTGATCAAGAATGGACACAATGTTCATGTGAGTAGCTGTTATCCTACTGCTAACATACTAGCATCCCATAGGGGCGCTAGCAGAAGCTAGCGATATCACAGATGTGGTTTTCTTACTTTTTGACACAGATTTTGGTATAAAGCTAAAGGCCTAGTTCTAATGGTCATGGTTTCACCAATATGTGGCAAAATGAGTATGTCTCTCTGGCTCTGCAAGAAAGACCTATAAAATATGCCTTATCATGCGACAATCATTGCTGATTC